TCCGTTTATTACATTATTAACTATTTATCTACAATAGAAAAGTCAACAATAAGCTGCATCATTTCGAAACGATCAATAGGTAATCTTTACCCGTAAAAGGAAATTCTTAAAGCTTGCGCAAGTACTTGTCACTTTAATGAGGCCGTACAGTAAATAATCGTTTCGAACCTGAATATCCTTTAATAGTCTATCCTATTAATTACCAACAACGTTGGCGATAAATTCGCTGGAGCGTCACTTTGTTTACCGCCTTACTTGATGCCAGCTAAGACGGCTCATAGGGTCCGACGGCTTTGCAACAAGGACAAAAGTGAAACACATTTACAGGATGATATGGGTAGTGGATATTCTTAAAAATCCACTACACGGTCACAGTAATTCTCATTAAGTGAATAATATTCTTTTGAGGAATAGAGTTACTTTAAACCCAAGCATAAAATTTCAATACTATTAATTACCTCGCTTAGTTTTGTTTCAAACACACTAGAAGTTTTAGGTTAGTGACAAATCTACTGTAAAACAAAGTCTACAAGTCTACCAGAGCCATCATCATGTCGTAAGTATCGACAAGCCTTCAGTTTTGTATTTCGACATCTCTATTAACTTTTAAATGCCCACCTATTCTATCGATACAATACAAATACCAACTATAAATAGCAATTCAATGATTATGCGTACTAAAGATGTTTCACTTTCGCTTTTACTTTAAGGTGTAGCACTTTATGTAAAGGTGTCAACATTTTATTGGTTCTATACAATAAAATAGAACAGAATAATTTTTAATTAATATAGATTATATGAATAATTACTGAAAGTCATTTAAAATTCACCACTAGTTCGGAAAAAGGCGGCCAAGTGAGAGTCGGACTCGCCCATAAAGGTTTCCGTAGCAGCAAGTAAACTAATATAAAAGTTCTTGTAGTTCGTTGTAACTTTGATCGATGTTTTAACGATAGTGTATTTTTTACGATTTATGACTTTTTAAAAAAAAAAACTACTTACTAGATCTCGTTTTAACCAATTTTTGGTGGAAGTTTACATGGTACTAAAGATTAATGACTAATGTACATCATATATTTTTAACTACTTTGCTTTACTTTACTTTTTTACTTTTAAAACTATTCAGTTTAGAAAAAAAATGACATTAGAAACCTCAATGTCATTTTTAAAGACCTATACATGCCCCACACATATGCGTTTGATGAAAAAAATTTTTGGGTTGCAGCTCTAAGTATGGGGGAACCTTCAAAATTTGGTGTTTTTTTTTCTATTTTTGTGTAAAAATCTTAATGCGGGTTACAGAATACATCTACTCACCAAGTTTAACAGCATATACGGACGGACAGATAGACAGACAGACATGACGAATCCATAAGGGTTCCGTTTTTTGTCATTTGGCTACGGAACCCTAAAAACTTCTATCTTTAATAATAATTATTTAAAGTAGGTTTTTTAATGCGTGTAAATGAACTATAGTAGGGGAGCCCATGAAGCTAAATGCGGATTTACTCGAGCGTTGTGGGGATAGAAAGAAAAAAAGTTATATAATATTTCCCATATTTTCAAAAATGCAAAAACTAATACAAACTACTACAGATGTTCAAAAATTAATTCCAGAGTGTCAGATATTCAAAAGAAGAGGGGTTAAGTGAACCCTAAAATTGTTCCTATTGAAACGACTGACGATTCGCAAGTGACACAAGCTCAGCGAATTTTGAAAATGCGAAAAAGTCACCATATTGAAATACTCGAGCGTGTTAAATTATTATACAAAAGGTTCAGTTTGATGTTACAGTTATGGTAGCTTAAAATCTGAAGATTATTTTGAGGGATATTAATAATCTGACTGCTAGAAATAACTTTAATGAACTTTTTTCTCAATAACTACAAAATTACTGTGAATGGATGGAGAAGGCACGAGAGAATGAGAGATAGGGAAAAAATGAAAGGGAGTGAGTGGGATATACATGCTTTACTCCAGCTGCACGATCTCATCTTCTTAGACGATTTTAGTATTTCAGCGTGTCGAAATCGGCAGATCATATTTTTTTATTTGTTATTTTTGCATTATTACCTTCGAAACAAAAAAAAAATTAATAACGCACGAGAATGTTAAGACACCATTTTTTTGAACTGTGTAACCCGCCCACTCTCTTACGTTATACTCAAATGGTTAGATTTTCTAAATGCACTCTTTTAGCTCGTAATTAACCCAGCTTACATTAATCTGACACGCTTGAGTAAACCCAAAAAATCCTCATTTGGGCTCCCCTACTACTATTATCGAGATCTCAACAGGAAATGGCCATAAGGAATATAAACACTACCTCGTGGTTAATTGAAAACAATTATAACATTACTATGAGCTTGTATGTTACTATATGGTACTTAGTTTCTCCTTAGGAACTGGTCTAGGTCTGGTCTTAGGTCCCCGTATGTTTCATTTTTAGTATTTGCGGGGCATTTTAATTCTCCAGCAGTTCATCCTAACACATTTTCTTTGTTAGTCCATACCACTCCTTCTCTATGCGTGTATCTCATATTCATCTTCTTTATTAACTTCTTTATTTTTTATAAGATAGGGTGACAAACGAGCACACATTCCACCTGATGGTAAGTGGTTGCTGTGGCCCATAGACACCTACATGTATCCTCGATTACGAATCAAATTGCAGATGCGTTATCACCGGTGAGGACTAAGATGTAATGCCTCATTTCCGGTAAAAAGGGTCTCCGGTTCTCTACACTCACTATACGAAACACAGTAGCATTAAGCTACTATTTTACGCTGGTATTCTGTAAGAGCGTGGTCTTTCCCCGGTCGAGCGGACCCATTCGAGCTACAACTATACTACTGATAGAACTGCAGCATGACTACGACGTATAAAATTTACCTACCACAATTACTACCACATATAATAATTATTTAATCACTTGTAAACATACGTCACCTAAATAAGAACATTGACTCTCACAACAGAAAGAAAACCCAGGTTACCTTGAACTTGATCTCCGTTAAAAACCAAAATATCAAATTCTTGGTATTCCTACAGTGCTCATTTATTCAACTCCTACTATGCTGGGAAAGCCTCGAAAAAGACAAAATAATGTTAATATTGTAAAAAAATATATAAATAATAATCAATTATTATTCCAAACACAGAGTTGTGGAGTTGCAACATTATTCACGGTTAATAAAATTTTGTGTTTTTATCTATAGAAATAAATAAAATTGAAGCGTCCATTTGTAATGTCAAAACAACAGCTTTTTATTAAATGCATATTATATACGTACTTACTATAACAAGGATACAAATTTTTAAAATTTTTGTTCGTCTGTCTGTTTGTTTTGATTAATCTCCGAAATTGCTCGACAGATTTTGACAGAATTTTCACTGGAAGATAGCTGATGTTTTAAGGAGTAACTTAAGCCACTTTTATTTTAGATGAAGAACTAAGTTTCCGCGAAAAAAATTGATTGGAGATTAGGCCAGGTTCAGAAGTTTCTAGTAGTACCTCAAGGTGCCAATACTAATAAAATTATTTTCAGTAATTGCTTTTAAATGGTTTGCGCATATTTTACCTTACCTGTTTGTTACCTCACCTTAAATGTTTGTAGTGTTAGTTCTGTTTATCTTTGTTGCTCTGATGACACAGCCTAATAATACAAAGATTGTCATCATAAAGCGCCTATTGTTCATCAATTTTCGCAAGATGTATAATTTCAAAATACATTGGTCATTTCTCTAGACTGCTTTGTACTCCGCCACCGCCGCCGCGAGTCCATTGCAGAGATATGTCAATAAGTAATATTTTTAAGTCGTCGAATCAAAGATGGCGCATTTTAAATATGGCGACCTTTTCACGGCTGATTATGACATTTATGAAGTCAAACACGCATGACCTTTTTGTATTGAAACTTAATCGTTTCTTTTATACTTATTACACCATAAAGATTTAGGAATGCAAGGACAGTAGACCAGGTGCGATGCTCTCGTCGGTATTTTGGCAATGTTTAGTAAATATTTCAAAAGAAAACAAAGAAATGCTATAATAATTGTTTACAATAAAAAAATAGTTGTGGATGTAAATTATCATTTACTTTTTCTGTCACCAGGGCGGCGCCACTGTCAAATATTTGACAGACTTTATAGCGGGAAAAGTTAATTTGTTAAATTTTTGATATAATATTTACGTTTTATACTAATTATGTTAAAAAGAATAAAAAAAATACGTGTGGCACTCGATGACTGCCGCGGTAAAGCTATTGCAGAGCATTTTTTATCAACTTATGCAATTATAATTATTTATTTATTTTATTTATGCAGTTAAGTCTTTGATATTAAATCAAGTTACACTTTTTGAGCGTGGTGACCGATAAGAGAACAATTTTTTTTCTCTTATTGAATAAATGAGAAGTTAATATTGTTTAAAATATTTTTAATATCTCACAATACTTGTAGGTTATTCAGGAATTTTTATCATTGAGTTAGCAGCTAGTGTACACGCACACAAACCCCGTGCCGAAGTCTGCCAAGTGCCGAAGTCTGCCGAACTAAAACGACGTTAGACGATGCACGGCTTTCAACGCCACACCTCCGTGCCCGTCGGAGTGGGGAGCATGAGGTTTTTTCGTTACGGAATTTCTGGATTCGGTCCCCGCGCTCAAGGGCCGCGATAGAAGCTATGCAATAGCTTAAAAAGAATAAAATTAAGGATATTGTTAAAAGTAGAAAAAAGTAAAAGTAAAATTTAAACAAAAAAATCTAAATGTGTACCTACCTAAAATATAAATAATACAGCACTGAAGAAACCGAAAAACTTACTTAAAAGCTACTTTTAGATAATAATGGCACTGTGTGATCATGCGTTTTATATAAGTTCAGCGTAAGAATATAAGGCTCCATTAATTCATCAAATGTCAGATCGAATGTTTGTTTGCTACAAAAATCGTCTAAGAAATGTAAAATTGCACGTCAATTGTACTATGAAATTCTTACCTTGTTTCTAGTTTGAAGAATACCAGCGCCGTTTGTGTTCAGAATTCCATTGCTGCACTGAGACCTGAGGACGCAGACGTAGCCCTGACCGCTGCAAGTTTGCTGCAGATCACCGTCGTACTGTCCTTGGATGTTGATGTTCGAGGTTTCGCGGAATATGTCCCCACTCACAGTCTGCTGGGTCTGATCAAAGTCGTACTCGTTAACTTTCTGTGTGTTCTGGATCAGGTTTACATTAGAGCCAGTGCTGGTTGCAAATGGTCTGGGTGAAGAACCGACGTAGCCTGCGCCGGAGAACTTGTTACCGGCACTTTCGGAGTATGAGGATTGATCAGTACCGAATCCGCTCTGGAATGAGCTGCCAGCGCCTTGAGAGCCAGAGGCAAATCCACTGCCTAAACCAGCCGTGAAACCAGATTGCCCAAAGTTGAAGTTACCATTGAGGAATGGGTTGTTAGCAACGTCAATCACTCCTTCCTGACTCGATTGGAAAGAGGAAGACGAAGTTTCGTATGTCGATTGTCCTTTACCTCCGCTGTTGTTGATAAAGCCTGAGCTCGAGGTCTTTGTATCAAAGTTTCCGGAGTTTAAGTTAAAGGGTGAGTTGTCGCCCATCCACCAGAATGGTTTGCTGGAAATTTTACCGTTGAGCAAATTACTACCGAAAGATGAACCGGCTTTGAAGACGTTCTCGCCACCAAAGGCATTCAAGTTTCCGAACTTATCAGTGATTTTTCCGTCTTGGTATTTAATACCAGCGCAGCCCTTGCTACTCGAGCAGCCTTCGAAGGATTGCTGCGTGTGTACTTCACCCCCAGGAAGCGATTGCAGCGCTGCAATAATCTCCTGCGGCGACTTAGAACTCAGGTTAATAGTGGAGGAGCAAGAGGTGCAGCGCTCTGCTCTCGCTTGAGGTGCTGATTCTTCGGCCTCTACCACCGGCTCTTTGCTCTGAGGTAGCTCTTTAACATCCTCGATATTCTCTGGGAGTGCGTGTGTGGCAAGAATGAGGCATATTGCCGCCACTGTTTGTAGTAGTGGCTTCATTGTTCTGAAACAAAACAAACTACATTATTTAAATGTCAAAAATGGGTACACACTTATTGATAAGACCTCAGTTGATGAAATACATTCCTTTTCTATTTCTATATAAGCCCGAAATAATTCACTGCATATTCACATGCATATTTTCATTCGTTTTGTATGGCAGATTGTCGATTGCAGTACTAAAACAGATTTCTCGCTTCTCACCGTCTAGCAATTCAGGTCTGGCGTAAGCAGGACGGCTAGATCCTCAGATGTGACAATACATCTGTAGCATTCTTTATTTTAAATTGGCTGTAGGTGTCTATGGTCAGTAGTTGCCATTTACCATCAGATGAACTGTAAATTTTTTTGTAACTTTAGTTTCTATAAAGGTTTTATGTGCTGACTTATAACAAGAAGCGTAAAATAGTAGCTTAATGCTGCTGTGTTTTGTATGGTGAGTGTAGAGAACCGGAGACCCTTTTTACTGAAAACGAGGCATTCCATCTTAGTCCTCACTGGTGACAACGCATCTATATTCTGAATTGTAATCAAGGATAGATGTAGATATCTATCGGCCGCAGCAACCACTTACCATCAGGTGAACTGTGTAGGTGCTAGTTTGTCACTCTATCCTATAAAAAAATAAGGAAAACATCTCATGACTGATTTAAGATCGTCAGATAAAAGTTATTCATCAATTATATTTTAATCTGACTATTGATATTTTATGCTGTATTTTAAATGAACATTTTGATATTTTTATTCTGTATTTTATCACATGAGTAACTTAGATGATTTAAAAAACGGCTCTTAGGGAAATAAATTTTTATGCAATGGAAAGACGTTTAGATGATATATTAATATATTGTGTGAAGTTCGTGCTCAGATAGTCTTCATTTTGATATTGACATATTACATAATGAATTATTAATTATGTAATAAAAATGCTGATGTTGCAAAGCACTGCTTTTTTTTAAATTAAACGTCATTTAATTTATATAATTTTCCATAAAAAAAATTCTCATGCTCATTGCGTGACGTAAATATATAACTAAAGCAATTTCAAGCGTATTTTTAATAACCATAGACAATTTCATAATATTTACAAACTTAAATCGATGTTACACGTTAAATGTAAAAATGTTAATTGGTTATTTTCGGCCATAACGCAACAAACACCTGACGGGAATAATATAAAATAAAAAATAGTGTCCAAATGCAACCGTCTATAGTTCAAGGCTGCATACTTTAATATTAAATTAACAAATGTTTTGCATACTACATTTCTTCACATCTTAGTGTAGAATAGATCTATGTATCTTGAGTTTAACGTTTAAGTTTCGACGAATGCGTTTAAGTAGGTACAAGAATATAAATAAGAAGTTAATATGAAATACATGGCGACATTTTTGCGTGTTGAAAATTTTGGTTTAGCATTATGTAATTGATATTTAACCGAAATTTAACTTCAGCCCTGCAGTTAAGGAGGTGTCTATTATTTAATACTATACTATCAAATCATTAATTCATTACATCCCTGGACTTGTCTGAACATAGACCTACCCTATATATTATGTCAGAAATAGAGGTATCATATGTCAGGACTTTTGGAATTTTGTCAGGATTGCGGTCGGATTTCGGAAATGTCAAGATTTATCAATTTTCAACAAAATACAGTAGTAGGTTTTTGCTTGGGAGGGATGTGCGATATGAGTAGATCTGCGAAGTCAAAATTTTCTTCACGCTTGATAATTACTTTTGCAACAATATACTTTTTATGGAATATCAGGTTATTTGTCAAGACTTTATATTTATCCATATGATAATCCTAGTCAGGAGGGATATTTGTCATTACTGCGGACTGCTTGTCGACAAAGTTAAATAATATAATATGTATAGTATTTAATGTTTACACTCAATAGGATTCTCATGTTACATTCTTGATTTGTAGCTGTTATTTCTATGATATTTCATATTTATTATCAATAAAACTATAATCTTGTATGTTTTTTTTAAATCACGATGGGTTAAAATTTTAATTGGAATGTCTCGCAATGATACAAATGAATTTGGTGGGAAACTTGATGTTGATCTTTTGTTGAGTAACCTTCGTATTAACACACCTCAATAGTTTTGTTTAAAGCCACGAAAAGTTGTACATGACAGTATTTTGTAAAAATATAAAAACAGCTCTTACGGAGTAGATTTTTCATTAAAATTCAACAAGAAGAAGTTCGGAAATAATAGATTTAACGTCTTTAACGTAGTTGTGTGAAAATAACGGGGGAGAAGGGGGCGCAGCATTTTTAGCTCAAACAGTTCCAACCTATGTAACGTCACTGCTTTTACCAACGTGATGGTCATCTTTAAATCTTAAACCTTATCTAACGTTATGTTTGGCTTCTTGATCAAGGACGGCATTTGAGCGAGATAAAGTGAAAGACCTATCGACCTCACAACATACTCGGAATCGATAACTATTTATTATACTAGCATGGAATGCATTTGTTATCGCAATTCTAAATAAAATAGAATAACTTTATTCATTATAGATTACAAGTAATGCTTATTGAAAAATATTTACACTTTCAACACTGTTTCAGAAAAATGGTTCAATCCCGCTAAAAACCAGCAAGAAACCCACGGAAACTTTTAAACAACAATGTGTGTTGGACAATTTTTTATAGAATAATTTTGACAAAAGAGCATACAGTCCACCTGTAAAAGGATGCTGTGGGACCATAGACATCTACATTTATACTCGATTAAGAATCAAAATGTAGATGCGTTGTCATCCCTGACTAAGATGGAATGCGTCGTTTCCAATATAAAGGTCTCCGGTTCTCTACACTCACCATACAAAACACAGCAGATTTAAGCTGCTATTTTACGCTGGTATTCTGTGACAGCGTGGTCCCCCCGGTCGAGCCGACCCATTCGTGCTAACTTTAATATAGCTGCAGCGCAATAGTTGTTTCTGCATATACAATAGACATCAATATATTTTATTCACGTATGAATCATTTAGTACCGACATAATTAACTAGTCTAGTCACTAATTGGCGCCAAGTACCTGTAGGTGGCAAGTGCCATTTTAGTATAATACAATTTGACATTTTATGTACTTGAATACCTTCATTACCTCACCTGTATTATGTATTTAATTATTTTATATAAGAGTGTGGTTTGCAAGAAAATGTTGTGACCAGGATTAAGAAAGGAATGCTTCGAAGGTTTAGTCATGTGGAGAGAATGAATGAGGAAAGAGTGACAAAGCAAATTTATGTTGCACAAGTAAATGGCAGAGTCAGAGTCGGAAAGGGACTTTGTAGGCGAAAGTTTATCGACCAAATATGATCTAAAAAATATTTAAAATGGCCCATATTAGGAGTACCTTTAACCGACGAGCATGTATGCGTAGGTATATGGATGTGGAGGAGGCGAGAGAGGTGTGCCAAATGGAAGTCTGTAGCCTCTGCCTACCCCTCTGTTGACAGGCGTGAGTGTCTATGTATGTAATTTTATAACGAACTGAGGTAAAAGTCTTTTTTTAGGGGTGACAAACGAGCACAAATTATCATTTGGTGGATAAGTGGATTCGAACCATAGACATCTACCTCGATTAAGAATCAAAATGCAGATGAGCAGAGCCCTGAGACAGAAAATAAAAAACCAGTAGCATTATTTATTCTGCTATTCACGCTGCTAGCTCGTGTCGGCACGACTCTTCCTCGGTCGAGCTTTATAAAAGTTAAACAGTATATTCAAATGTTTAAGACATAATCTCATAAAAGATGAGCTGTTACATATATTTTTATCTATAGCAATATTTTTATTTACATTTTTTTAATAATAAATTATTAAATTATTCAAATTGAGTATATTACCTCAACGTAGATATTACGCTTATGCACTTAATTATCAAGAGGATCAGTTGTTTGAATCGGTCATAGACTGACAATAACATTAAAATAACGTCTTTTGGGCACCATTATCCATTAACGCTATTATCCTTAAAACTTTTTTTTACATGCAAAAGACACGTTGCAGCTGTATAATAGGTATAGTGCGAATGTATCAGCTCGACCGACAAGGAGCCACGCATATAGCGTGGGTATCGTGAAAGTCAGAAATCAGAAATTCCTTTTGACCTCCAACAGATGGCAGAATAACATTTAATTATTAGCAGATGTATTAGAAAAATCCATATTGACGATAGGAAACAGCACCTAAGGTTCAAGACGTTTACTACTTCGGCCACTAATTCGCCTGTCAAGTATGTTAATTATAGTCTAGCCTTTTTACAATGGAGGAGACTCATGTACAACGAAAAACTCTTACATAAGAGATGAAAAGAAATGCATAATCGAAACGTTATTTTATTTAAAAAAGCAAGTGATAAACGAACTTGCAATCCACCTGATGGTGGAAGACTAGAGATGCGTTGTCACCCCTGAGAACTAAGATGGAATGCCTCGTTTCCAGTAAAAAGGGTCTCTGGTTCTCTACACTCACCATACGAAACACAGCAGCGTTGAGCTGCTATTTTATTACGCTAGCAATCTGTGAGATTCCTTTTGGGACAGTCTGATGAAAAGAAATATAAAACTACATTAGATAAGTTGACCTCTCGAAATATTCTTGTTGCTAAGTATGTTTGCGATACTATCTCAATTACACCATATTAAAGCATTAAAATGGATTCAAAGCGATTAAAGTGGGCTTAAAGCGCGTGGGCCCCGCAAGGTTACCCAATGAAAGCGATGACATAAGGCAAAAGATATGAGTGGGTGCCAAACACTGTTTGCACAGGAGCAATTGTGTGTTTCAAACTCAAATGTTGCATTTTAAAATGAGGTATTTAAAAATTAAGACACTTTATTTAGCATCTCTGTTGAAATACAATTCGTTTGACATTGACATTCGTGTTGCTTCCCAATTTTTTCGAATGCACAAATTACAAAACCTTATATTTCATATACAATGGTCCTCATTTTAACTAGAAATTTTCTTTAAAA